GGCGTGCTATGTTCCAACAAAACATTCTTTTTAGCTTCAAATAACTATTTCATTATTTTTCACAATTTTTTCAACTGATTGAGATTCAACTGGATGCTTTTTGCTTTATTTTTTTCTTCTTATTATTCTTCGTTTTCTAAAGTTGAGACATAACAGATATATAACATTATCTTAGTTTGATGTATATACATAATGATTTGATTCCAATAAAATTTATTTTACAAAAACAGACTGCAAACTAGATTTCAGCTGAGAACCATAACTTATGCCCCTGGTTCAGAACATTTTTACTTAACTATTGATATGGTTTGATTTAATCTGAACTATTAAATCAAATATTATGGCTATTCTTTTCTATTTTTCCTATTTAGTCTTTATTCTTTTTTTGTGTGTGTGACTTCTTTGGAATAACAGAGTATTTTTATTAACTCATTTTATCCCTACTATTGGCTTATTAGTTATGACTATTTTTTTAAGTGTTGCTCTAGGATTTATAATATACATACTAAATTTATTATAATCTATCTTGAAATAATTTCCCACTTCATGTATAGTTTAAGGATCAATTTTTTCTCCTAACCTTTGTGTTATTATTTTCATGCATTTTAATTCTACGTTATAAATTCCATAATACATTATTATTATTTGTACTGAGAGAGTAAATTTTCTTTTAAAGAAAATAAAAAATCAAAAGAAAATGTCTTTTTGCCCTAACCAGTTTGGCTCAGTGGATAGAGCATCAGCCTGTGGACTGAAAGGTCCCAGGTTAGATTCCTATCAAGGGCATGTACCTTGGTTGTGGGCACATCCCCAGTAGGAGCTGATCGATATTTCTCTCTCATCTATGTTCCTTTCTCTATCCCTTTCCCTTCCTCTATGTAAAAATAAATAAATAAATAAATAAATAAATAAAATATATTTTTTTAAAAAATAAAATGTCTTTTATATTTGCCCTCATTTTGTCATTTCCATTGCTCTTCATTTGTGTATGTCAAAATCATACTCTTTCTGCCAAAGAAAACTTACTTTACCATTTTGTATGATATGGGTTTATTGGCCATGAATTCCTTCAGTTTTTATTTGTCTGAAAAAGTCTATATAATGATCATTTAAAAAAAAAAAGAGAGAGAGATTTACACCCTGGCTTTGTACTGCACAATGGTTAGAGCACCAGCTCCCAACACCACCCCCCACCCTCCTCTACACCCACACACACACACCAAAAGGTCCCATGTTCGATTCCCTGTCAAGGGCACATACCTGGAGAGGCTGCAGGATGGCTGAGGCCTTTGGGCTCAGGCCACGTACTTCAACTCTAGCCAAGTGGGGGACAGAAAAAGGTCAGGCCTTCCACTTAGAATGGAGGTTAGCGTGCTCCTCCCTTGACACATTCAACCCCCAGGTAGAATGACACCAAATTGTTACCAGAACCACAGGGACTTTATCACAGGGAGGAGCCTGTGGTCTGTGGGTTCACTGCCTCAGTGGCTGTTCCATTTCTGGGGTGCTTTTTGCTTTATCCCAAGAGGAAGGACTACAGGACCGGACTGAATTGGGCAGAATTGTTTTCTTAAGCATCTGAATGTGTGTGGCTTAGGAAGTGAAGGTAAATGAAGCCAAGGATGGGAACCAAGGCCCATATTTGAGAAGCAACATCTTGAGACAGGTCCAAGGGGGGAGCCTCCTGGGCTCTGACCAGGAAACCGGGGTGAGCTGGGCGTGAGGGGAGGAGGAGCTAATTGGATGGCGAATGATGGAGAAGAAGATGGATTCAGGATGAAGAGGGTCCAGAGGTTTTTAGGTTCAGAAGAGAGCAGACTGCTTCACATGCAAACATCCACTGACCCATCACAGTAGTCTAAAACACTAACTATCCTTAAACCAACCACACTTACCTACCTGGGCCTCCCACCAACGCTGCAGAACTAAAAGCTTTTGGAACGCATACAGGGTTAAAAAGAAGACGTCACGCAAATGGAAGTTCACGAGAGCACTTCTAACTTCATGAAAAATGACATTAATCAGTGGAAGTAGGAACTTTTAAAGAAAAGAATCAGAACTTCTTCTCTTACAAACAAAGCTTGAACCTCTTAGCAATTACAACTCTGATTGCAAGGATCTTACTCAAGTGCTTGAAGAGTCTTTTACTGCCAAGAACGAGCGAACTGCACATCAAATAGTGGAATTACACCGAATCAGCTCAGGTCTAAATGGGCTCAGACAAATGTCACAGACAATTTTCAGACTGCAATAAGAATGAGGCTTTTGATTTCTTAGGGGGTGGATGTTTTGTTATGGTATAAAATAATTCATAGTCACTTAAGAAAATCTGCAAAATACACAAAAGTGTAAAAAGTAAAATAAATATCCATAATCCAGAGACAATTTACATTTTAAATATTCTCAAAACAATATTTTTGTGGGTACTGCTCCCCCACCCACCTCTCACAAATCAGGTTTTATTAAATTAAAAATTGTTTCCAGCTCTTACCATTTATTTCATCAGGAACAATTCTCCATTGCCTTCATTATTCCTTAAATATTATTCCATAATGTTGCATTTTATGGATATGCCACTATTTATTGTAATCCTTTTTAATTGATGATCAATTAGGTTGTTTCCATTTTTTAACCTTTTAAATACAATTCCAGTAAATATCTGTGGCTGTAATGTTTGTGCATCTCTCTGATTATTTCCTTAGAAGGAATTCCCAGACTATTAAGATTTGAGAGCTTCTCCATATTCACTTTCAAATTACTTTTCAAAATGGTCTCACTTCTATTTACTCACATTAACAATGTATGAGCATGGCACTGAGCATTATCAAAAGAAAAAAAGAGAGAGAAGACAAAAAATCTTTGTTAGTTGAAAAATGGGATCTAGCTGTTTGGTTTTGTCTTTCTTTCACGTGTTTATCAAAAGTTTTTCTTTTATGAATCATCTTTTTGTGCCATTTACTGGGTTTTATATTTTGGGTAAGCAACTTGTTTTAATTTTGATGCAATTTCGCTGCAGCAAATCCAAAGGGAATCCTAAAAAGAAACTCATGAAGCTAAAAGCCTTTTGATTTATAGCTGTAAGCTTTCCAAGGATTCTGAGGCAAAATGTAAAGGAAATTGGAGTTTTTTCTAGAGCACAGTCTCTTGGACTCTATGCATCAGAGCCAAGGAGGGAGAGAGAGGGGACATGAATTTAAATTACAGGTGCCTAACCCCACTGCAGACACACAGTCGGCTTCTCTGACAGTTGGGCCCCAGAACCCACATTTCTATAATCTCTGTGTACGTTCAATTTTTCTTGTACTTGGTTAGTGAATTACCACTCATCTATTCAATTCTCCAAGTTAGAAAAATTACAGCCATCCCATTCTTTGCCTCCCTTACCGCTTCTCGTGTATTCAATAATTTTACCAACAAATGTCTTTAAATTTCTTTTCTGCTCCTTCTCACCTTAGTTTTGTTCCTTATTATCCTCCTCTCTTCTTTCCCTTCTCCTGTTTATTCTACCCTATCCTTGCAGTGCACTGGGTAAAGATAAGCATACATTCTTAGCAATGTGGCCACAAGTTTCTACTTACGATGCAAAAAGTTCTGGATAAATATCCTCCCCGGGTCTACCCTTCCAATTTTTTGCAACCCTTGAACTCTTCCTTGTTCTATAATAGTGAAGGGGTGAGGAGCCAGGATTTTAGAGCTCTGAAAATTAAGTTCTAGCACCTTTATAAAGGAGAACCCTAGAGAAGTTCAGACAAAACTCAGAAAGAAGCTCAAAAAGGCAAGAGACAGCTATAGGCAGTGTAAGCTCCTAGGGTCACCCACCTGTGACAACAGGATTAAAGGAGTGGCCCTACGGGTGGCATGCCGATGTGTCTGAGAAGACAGGGCACGTGAGGCCAAATTGTTGAATGGGTTATCTACGCAGACCCTAAAATAGCTCACATGGATGCTGTTATCCACAGAGAGCCAGGAATATGAACAGTTCAGAGTTAACATTTCTCCGTCCCTGAAAAAACAACTTAAGAGCAAAGAACAAAGAGTTACTGTGTTGATCCTCCCATGTAAAAGGAAACAGTAATTTTGATGGATTTGGTGGGACATTGCGGAGCCAAGTCAAACTGTGTGCGATTGTTTTATAAAGGTGCTAGGACTTAATTTTCAGATCTGGAATAAGAACAGGTGGTGGCTGATGGCAGGAGTCACAATGGTTTCCATGACAACCGGATTGGGATTTAGTCATCCTCCCATCCTCCACAAAACCTTCCGCGGCTTTTCTCATAAGGTGCTTATTAAATATTTGTTAAATGAATCATGAATCACAGAATGGTGTGTGTACTTTGCAATTAGGGCCGCCGTTCTCTAGCTAGCGAAAAGCTTTTAGAGCAACACTAATTACTGTATTTACACGATATTTTGCGTAATTTGCATTATTAACTTAACCTGAAAATAATAAGCTACGGATTTCCACCCCTGCTTAACAGTCCTGTCCCTCATCTGTCCCTAATGGTGGAAGTGGTCCCAATGTTTGACATGGCCTTAAGGAGGGTGGTGGGTGGGGTGTGTAATCCTAAACCGTTATTTGTCCTTCCACATTTGCTAGAACACTTCTTTCTCTTACCACCACCATCTCCCTCCCCACTTTCGAGCCCCTGCTCCCCTTCTCCCCCGCCCGCATCTGCGCAATCGCCCCCCATCAGGCGCCAGCCTGCCCCTCCCCCGCGCCCCTCTTCCCGCGCTCCCGCTCCAGCGCGCGGGGCCCCGCCGGGAGCACAAAAGGCCTTGGCAGCCGGCGTCCCGCGTTGCCCTTGGCAACCATCGGAGTAGCGTCTCCTTCTACCTGGACCCTGCAGAAGTAGTAAACGGGGCCCCCATTGGCTGGCCGGGAAAGGCCAGCCAATCGGAGAAGCGTTTGTAGGGAGGCGGCTGAGCTGGGATTGTAGGGGTAGGAAGTTAGGGTTAGAGAGTCAATCGGTGAGGCTAGAACCCTGAACGTGGTCGGTTGGCGCCGATATGTCTGTCCGGAGACACATTGGGAATCCTGAGGTGAGGGCCAGGTCCGGATCGGAGAGGCGGAGGGGGCGGGCGCACCGGAAAAGGCTCCACGTGGGCAGGGAAGAGCCGCCGGCGACTTCCGCCGCCCGCCCGGCGGGAAGCGGCCGGCGTGAGGAGGGGTCTGCCGGGGGAGAGGAGGCGGGGCGGGCCGGGGCGCGGCGCCCAGACCGGCCTTTCCCAGCGATGGGGCCCCATCCCGCCCTGGCTCCCTGCACCCCGGTGCTTGTCACATAAAGAAAGACACAGCCCCTCCCCTCAAAGGGCTTGCCGTCGAGGAGCGGCAGATACAAAACACGAGTAACATACCATTGCACACCATCCAAAGCAGCTGTCATTTCTTATTCTGGGAATAACAGAAAGAGCAGCAACCAGCAGACCAGGCCTTTGGGGAAGGATGCAAAATATGACAGTTTTACCCCCACTCCCTAGGGCCTTTTACTTTCTCATCTGTTTCGCCCCTACTGCCCTGCTGCATTTGTGTTCCTTTAATTCCAACTAGAGTGAATTGGACTTCTGCCTTGGAGTAGGTGCTAGAAACTCTGAGATAGTAAGTCAGGGCCTTTGTCCTGCAGTAAGTTCAGTCTAGTGAGGGAGGCTTGCAAACAGAACTTGAATGCAATGTGGTTAGGGAGCAGCCTGTCATAAGAGAGCTCAGGAGAAAGAGAGGACTGCCCTTAGGGAGAGAAGGGCCCCGGAGTGGCCTGACCCGGCCAGGTGAGGAGCCAGGTGAAGAAGCACTACAGACAGGACAGTGTGAGCTTGATAGAAGGTGTGGAACATGGGGGTGGGCAGTCCCCTGCAGAGCCCAGAAGTCAAGTCTGGAAAGGCCTCTGTGCCTTGCTGAAATTCCTGGCTTTTCTTACAGACCAGGAGTTGCAATTTTATTTATTTGTTTGTTTGTTTGTTTATTTATTTATTTATTTTACCTCGCGGTGGGTGCCTATGAGCTATGTTGAAAAAGTTGTGAGGCTGAGCTTCGGCTCTGCAGGAGAGTGCCAGGATGGATTCTGTATGATCTCTACCAGGGCGGTGGGAGGGGGGTGGGGAGAGTGGCAGTCAACCTGCCACATGTTTATCTTGTCTGCGGGCCAGAAGTCAAGAAGCTTTTAAAAATAAAGAGTGACATGATCTGGTTTGCATTTTAGGCACATGGTTGGGGACACATTGTGGAGAATGGATCTGAAGGAGCCCACGTCCGGTCACAGGGAAACTGGTTGGGTGGTTATTATGTTATAGACCTAAAGGAAGGCCACAGCATGAGGAACAGAACTGAGAACTATTTAGGGGGTAAAGTCATCAAGACTTCATCATTAGTTTTGAGAAATGAGAGGGTGATGGGTGATAGGTTCCCTGCTTGAGCTCCTCATTGGTTCTGATGCCATGCTAATGAGGTCAGGAATATGGGTGAAAGAGGCTCGGGGGAGGAGCAGGGATGTGTGATTATACATTGGTATCCTAAAGGAAGCTGTCCAGCTTACTCTCCTGTTTTAGTGGAGCACCATTTCTGTAGTTTCTTGAGCGTGCATAAGAAATAATTTTTTTTTTAAATTTATGCCTAAGATATTGGGCATGTCTAAAAATGTTAGTCCTCTACCTTCACATTTACTTACCTGAACGTTTGGTTGAGTATAGAATTGTTGGTTGGATTCCACCAGCATTTTGAAAACATTGCATTGTGATCTTCTAGCATCCAGTATCGCTGTCCAAAGCCATTCCGTTCCTTTGTGTGGGATTTGATTTTTCCTCTGGAAATTTGAAGGATCTTCTCTTTGTCCCCAGTGTTATGATCTTTCACAAGGTATTCCTTGATCTGTTTTCACCCATTTTGGTAGGTATCAGAAAAGCATTTCTTTCTGTTCTGTAAAGTTTTCTGGAATTATTTTGTTGTTGACTTTCTTCCTATTTTCTCCATCCTCTCTTTCTTGAATTCGTTATTTTGTTGTTGCTTCTATATGATTCATTCTCAAATTTAAAATTTTTTTTATCTCCTTTGTTGTTGATGACATTATTATAGATGCCCTCCATTTTCCCCTTCTTTGCCCACCACCACCCAGCCCCCTATCACCACCACCACGACCCCAACCTCCCCACCCTGGCCTTCACCACACTGTTGTCTTTGTCCATTAGCTGTGCTTGTTTGTTCTTTGGCTAACCGCATCTCTGTCTTTTTGCTCTCTTTGGGAGATCTGTTTAACTTCATCTTCCAGTCCTCCTATTGAGTTTTTAATTTCTGCCATAATGTTTTTTAATCCTTAAGAGCTCTGTTTTGGACTCTGTTATCCTTTATAAAAACTCTTGTTTTGATATAAATACAGATTTACAGGAATTTGCAAAAATAGTACAAAGTAGTTCCATATGCCCTTCACCCAGTTCCCCCCCCCATGATTATATTTTACATAAATATAGTATAATATCAAACCAGAAAATTGGCATTTGTACTATGTGTGTATAGTTGTAGGTCTTTTTATCACATGTGTAGATTTAATATAATCAAGATTTGCACATGTGTAGATTTTGCAATCAAGATACAGAACTATTCCATCACTACATTATCTTCCTTATACTACCCACTTTCTCCCCCCTAATTATTCTAACCCCTGGCAACCACTAATGTGTTCTCCATTTCTGTAATTTGTAATTTTAAAAATATTGCTTAAATGGAATCAAGTAGTATGTGACCTTTTGAGATTGGCTTTTCCCCACTAGAATAATGTCCTTGAGATGCATCCAAGTTGTTGCCTGTAGCAATATCATTACTTTTTTTTTTTTTTTGCTGATTAGTATTCTGTGGTTTATTTAACCATTCAGCTATCATGGGATATTTGGCTGCTTTCAGTTTGTGGCGATTACAAATAAAGATATGAACCTTTGGGTATAGTTCTTTATGTGATGTTAATTTTCATTTCTCTGGGATAGGTGCCTAGGAGTACAGCTCTTGGGTTGTATATAAGCTTGCATTTAGTTTTTTTTAGAAACTGAATATATACGACGATGGTATATACTACATACTATATAGTCTAGGTATGTAGTTGGCTGTATCATCTAGATTTGTGAAAGTACACTGTGTGATGTTTTCACAATGATGAAATCGTCTGTGTATTTATCAGAATGTATCCTTATTGTTAAGTAGCACAGGACTGTACAAGTTCATGTGTGGATATGTGTTTTCATTTCTCTAATAGTGTTTTTAAATAGTTTCCCTCTTCATAGCCTCAATTTCCTCCATATTGCTATATTTCTTTTTGTTTTGTTGGAGATATTTATATTAGTAAGCTTGAGCTGCCATAACAAAATACCACATATCAGGTGGCTCATACAACAGAAATTTTTTTCCTCATAGTTTGGGAGGCTGAGAAGGTTAAGATTAAAGTACTAGACAATGTAGTTTCTGGTGAGGGCTCTCTCCTGGCTGTGTGCCCGCAGGACCTCTCTGTGTGCAGGTATGAGAAAGGGGCAGGTTCTTTGGTGTCTCTCTTCATAAGAGTATGTCCGCCCTTCTGACCTCATTTACCTTCACTTCCTAAAGGCTCTGTCTCCAAATACAGTTACATGGGGGATTGGGATTTCAATGTATGAATTTTGGGGGACACAATGCAGTCTATAGCAATGTTCTCAGACTTCTTTTATCCCTAAATTGTTAATTTATGTTTTCGTGCAGGAGACTTAAAATGTGATTGGACCCTGGCTGGTGGGGCTCAGTGGTTAGAGCATAGGCTGCACATTGAAGGGTCCCAGGTTCGATTCCTGGTCAAAGGCATGAACCTGGGTTTCCCATTCGCTCCCACCTGCATGTGGGAGGCAACCAGCCAATGTGTCTCTCTCCCTCTCTTGCACTTTCTCTGAAAAACAATGGAAAAAGTATCCTCAGGTGAGGATTGACAATAACAACAAAAAATTAAAAATGTGATTGGTGCCCAGGCAGTGTGGCTGAGGGGTTGAGTGTCCATCCATGAACCAGGAGGTCACAGTTCAATTCCTAGTTAAGGCACAGGCCCGGTGGCAGTCTCAATCCCCAGTAAGGGGAATGCAAAAGGCAGCCGATCAATGATTCTCTCTCATTGATGTTTCTCTCTCTTCTTCTCCTTTCCTCTCTGAAATCAATAAAATTATACTTTAAAAAGTAAAAAAGATGGAGAAACTGGGTTTCAGTTAGTTGCTCAGGAGTACACAGCCAGTAAGCATCAGTAGCCCACTCACCACCCAGTCTGACAACCTAAAATGTTTCTAAACATTGACAGTTGTCCCTGGGGTCAGGGGTGAAAATTGCATTTGTTTGAGAACCAGTTATCTATAGCAGCGTTTTTCAACCGCTGTTCCGCGGCACACTAGTGTGCCGCGAGATGTTGCCTGGTGTGCCGTAGGTGCAGACAAGACAAGAATTTTATAATTTTTCACTATTTTGTTTACTTAATATTTCATAATAAAGTAATTATAAAATACTTTCTTTGTGTTTATTTGATTCCTATTCAAGAGAATTACTTTATATATAGTCAATATAGGCACAGAGTTAAATTTTTTAGCATTTTCTAATGGTGGTGTGCCTCGTGATTTTTTTCATGAAACAAGTGTGCCTTTGCCCAAAAAAGGTTGAAAAACACTGATCTATAGGATACAATCCCCGTTTCCCAGCATGGACGCAAGGACCTTTATGATCTGACCATGGCTGTCTCTCCAACCTCATTTGACCCCATGTTGCCCCCTCTGGCTGCCCTCAAAGAGCCTGTTGTACACCACAGACACGAACTCTCAGCTTCTCTGCCTCCCCTGCAGCTCCCACCCACCACTCTGTGAACCTCACTGATTAACTCAGCCCTCCGATGGCACCCTCAGGAAACCGCTCTTTGCTCTAGGTCTGGATTGGGGGCTGATTTTACAAACTCCTGCTGCACCCTCAGCTTCTCTCTCCTTGTTTGTCATGCAGGGTGGCACCTGCCCACTTGCCTTCCTTTCCAGCATCAGGGAGAGCCGGATGGCTGAGAATGTGTTTTTTACCTCCGCGTCCTCAGCACGGTGGTTTGCTCCTAGAAGGCACCCGTAAATGTTGACGGAATGAATGGTTGGCACCCAAGAAAGCTTTTTTGAATGAATGGTTTTCCTTGAAACAGCTTCTTTTTTTTCAGTTCTTTCACTTTCTACCACTCCATCCTGTTTATGTAATTGAAAAAAAAAAAAAAAAAAAGCCAGTTGGTCAGTAGGTCAAGAAACAGTCACCCCAAAGCAAGAATTTTAATGAAAAAAGGATGGCAGTTCCATAAAATCCACGGTGCTCTGCTTAAAGGAGAGCACAAATACTTTTTACGTTGCGATTGGTACTAGAAAGTCAGGAACAAGAAGTTGGACCCAAATAGGAAAATGAGGAGAAATACTACACTCTCCTCCTGCAGCGTATGGATTTCTCATCAGGCTGTGTAAGGGAACACGGGGCGGGAGGGCTCCCCGGCTGCAGCTGCCGCACTCCCCCGTCAGTCTGCTGCCACCACACCTGGTCCCCAGAGACGCCCTCACTTCTGAGCTATGTTGGCTTAGGTATGGATAAATCCCCTTAGTTCAGCAGAGACTAGCCTGGAATTTTTCAAAAGAGGCTTTGCCAGGCAACTAGGGGGGAAAACAAAATAAAAGTAAAAACAGGAAATAGCATATAGGAATTATAAAAATACAGAGAGCAAAATAGAAAAAAAAGAAAATTTCCAGCCTAAGATAACTGAGTTCCAGTATTAACTTAAATATATATATATATATATATATATATATATATATATATATATATATATATAATAGTATTTTTTAATTGATTTCAGAGAGGAAAGGAGAGTGAGATAGATGAGAGAGGATCCATTGATTGGCTGCCTCCTGCACTGGGGATTAAGCCAGCAACCTGGGCATGGCCCTCGACCAGAATCAAACCCAGGACCTTTCAGCCCCCAGGCTGACGCTCTATCCACTGAACCAAACCAGCAGGGCAAGTACTAGCTTTTCTTGACTCAACTTACCAGACATGTTTTCCCTATTTTTTGGTTCGCTTTTGGGGTTTTTTGTTTTGTTTTGCTGTAATATTGTCTTCCTCTGGGAACTTGTCCTAAAGTCCCCCTTTTTAGTCTTTGAATATTTTCTTTCACTTAAGAGCCTTCTCAAAAAAAAAAAAAAAAAAATCATCTTCTCCATCTTCATCTAGGAAGGAGTTGAAATTGGCATTAGAGTCCCTTTTTCTTCCAAACAGCAGGTGACCGAATAGATGGAGAAACCTTTCAGGGTAAAATAGCTCAGGGATCCCACAAACACACACATCCATGGCGAAGGTTTTCCTCTCCTAGAGTGAAATGAAACACATAGGTCATGTCAGCAAGTTTTGTAATAACAGTAAAGGACCATTCTTTTTATTTTGAGATTTTTTTTCCTTCCTTTTTAAGTGTTAAAATAGCAGATGGTAGTTTTGAGTCCTTAACTAAATGCCATAGTTACCTATGTTTTCAAGGGTAAGTGATACAGGTTCTCATCTAAGGAACCACCAGGTAGTTGTTATTATACAGTCCTCTATATACTCATTCATTGATTGATTATTAAGTCCCGGTGAATACACATTTGAGTAAGTTATTGTCCCTGCCTTCAAGGAAATCCTAGACTAGAGAAGAAGTCGAGTTTTAAACAAGGGTACAGGGTGTCCATATTCGGGAGGGAGGGAGAAGAGAAAACAGCCTAATTCCACCTGAGACAGCTTATAGAGGAAGTGAAGTTTTGACTGAGAAAAGGCAGATATTTGCTAAGACCGGATCCCTGAGTGAATGTGGCCCACTTTGGGGAACATTCGGGCAACTGTAACTTGGCAACATGTGGGTGCGTGGCAGAAGGTGAAGCTGGAAAGGTTTACTTATTACCCAGTTTAACTTCGTACTTCACAGCTACCTGTGACTGAGCATATGGTTTTCATACTTGCAGGCCAGGAAAAAAAAAAAAAAAAAAAAAAAAAGCCTGAGCAAGAAAGCTATATTCTGTAACGTCCTTATTTATCACCCTTTCCTCTGTTAATGGCTTTTGAAAATGTCACTAAAATTTAATGTGGGTCAATGTCCTGAGTTTGGATTCAGAGTTCACTGGCGGAGACCAGGACAAGGGAGACCCAGGATAGGCATTTGTGCTGGCTATACAGTTACCCTGAGTCCGGATGTGCCCCAGCTGCACCGAGCAGCTGCCATGGTAGTGACATCTGTGGAGCCTCAGACCCCAGGCAGGCAGCGGGAGAGGCCGGCCAAACCGGGTCCCAGCCTGACAACATCTGGGTGCTGTGCTCAGGTCTGGGTCCACGTGCCCCCTTTTTAGGAAAGATGTAGATTCGGTTTAGAGATTCTCCAGAGGAGATGGCCTACAAGTCATCATGCAAAGAGTAAAATGAAAAAGAAGAACAAGAGAGCTGCCTTTAGTTATTATAGTTTAACTGATTTCGTGAGGCAGAGTCGGGCGGCTTATTCTGGGTTGCAACAGTGGACTGGATGGAAATTAGTGACCAATTTTGGCTCAATGTCAGAAATGATTTTAAGAGCCTTTTTCCCTAGTCCATTTTTGTTACATACTGCTATGATGTTATTTTGGCAAAATATGGAAATGTTTTGATAGAAACAAGATAGCAATCTTCACCTGTAGAGATGCTGTAGCAAATTGTCCTATTTTGAAGGGATGGTTGGACCTCTTGAACTCTCCCCCCCTATAAATTTGATAAAATCGTAGCATTTGTTCTAATTTTTAAGTATCTGACTCCTAACTTTGCCACCCTTATCTTTACATTAACCCAATTTATTTTTAATTTTTAATTTTTTTTAGTATCTGACCAAAAGAATACCACAAAACCCAAAGTATCAGCATGTCAAGTCAAGACTGGACACTGGTGAGTAAAGATTAAAAAATTAAAACTTTTTAAAAATTCAAAAGCTAATGGATGACAAGAAGCAGCTAAAAGTTTCTCACTGTCTTGTTTGATGTCTTTCTGGGCTCAGAGACTTGTTTTTGAAACCAGTTTCTCAGATTGTAAACCACAATTCCATTCACATAATAATTCGCTTATTATAAATTGAGAAATTGATGAAAACATTGTTCAATAAGTTGCAGGACTGAGGCTAATAAATATCAGATGGTCACCTTCTATTTGGGGACACCTCGGGCATGTGTCTTTAAACTGGATTATACGTGGTACATTTGTTCAATTTGGTATTTGCAGAGTTCCGGCTACATGCAAAGCTATGGCCTATGGGACTATAAAGATAAGTGTGAATCGTGATTTTTTGCAATCAAAGAGCTGAGATTCAAGTGGAGGCATTCAGACTTGAATGAGTAACTGAAATACCAGACAAAATTAAATTAGTGCTGCAATTCAGGTAAAATGAAATTCGAGTGTATTACCTCTTATTTCCATGCTGTTGACATTTTTCACCAGGCCCCTTGTGGATTTGCAGGCTTGTGAGGTTTTTGTTGTTTATTTGTCTAGTTTTTTTTTTTTTTTTTCCCAAACTTTTAAAGCCTGCTGTGAAAAATCCATCCTATTAAGATGGTTTCACTAATAGATTGGGGTTCTGCATGCCTTTAGAATACCGAACATTCCACCAGTAACCTGAAGACAACTGAGAAAATAAATTGGGAGGTCAACTTTGTTAAAATCTCATTCATTTTGTCTTTGTCTTTTTCCAGTCGCCTTCAAAATCATTATCTCCCACTGTACATGTTTCCTCATATAAAATAGAGTTAAATGCTTTAAATGAACCCATTTGCAGATACAATTTCTGGGGACCTTTCTTTCAAACATTTCCGTGCTGTACAGATATTTCCTTGCAAATATCCTGTTTGATGGGAGGTAAAAAAAATATATATATTATCTGTTACTGAGAAGCAGGAAATTGTGGCCAGAGATGATGTGATTTACATGAAGTTCAGTAAAGAAGCTAGAACAGGGATTTGTATGCAGGATGAGGAAGTGGATGTTGGAGAACTGGTGTGAAATCCTGTGTATTGTTTCAGTTCTGGGTCCTGTTCTGATTTTTCCCCAGAGCTGAGGGGTTTTTCCAAAAAAAAACACAATATATTTGTCTATAGCTTTATATCTTGGTCTCTTGGAAACTGAACTGAAATTTCAATGAAAATACATTTCTTTCTCTTCAATTTCTCAATTTATAACCAAAAATTTGACTCAATATAATACCAGAAATTAATTTGTTTTTTAAATATCTTCTTTTTATAACACATAGTAGTTACCTATATCCTTTTATATTCTGAGATTTTTGTTGTTATTGTTAATCCTCACCTGAGGATATTTTTCCATTGATTTTTAGAGAGAATGGAAGGAAGGGGGGGGGGAGGGAAGAGAGAGAGAGATGAGAGAGAGAGAAAGAGAGAAAGAAAAAAAGAGAGAAAGAGAGAGAGAGATGAGAGAGACACATCCATTGGTTGCCTCCCACATGCACTCCAACTAGGGCCTTAGATTGAACCTGCAACCCAGGTATGTGCCCTTGACTGGAAATCAAACTCGAGACCCCTTGGTGGGTAGACCAATGGCCTAACCACTGACCCACACCAGCTAAAGCTATCCTGACATTGTAAGCTAGTGTTTTGCTAATTAAACTTTTTATTTTGAGGTAATTATAGATTCATATTGATTTATAAGAAATGATGTAGAAAGATTCCATGTACCCTTTACTCTGTTTCCCGTGATAACATCTTGGGAAATGAAACTGCAAAATCACAACCATGATATTGAAATTGATGTTTATAGTCTGTATGCATGGAAGAGCCCTTGGGTGTGGCTCTTCCACAAAATACCACGGCCTGGGCGAGTCTGTTTTGAAGAAGTGGCGTTAGAAGAAGTTTAAGTTTAAAAAATTTGGCTCTCAAAAGAAATCTCAAACCGTGTACTGTTAATATTTGGCTCCATTGACTAATGAGTTTGCCGACCACTGGTCTAAATACCGAATGTGTCCATCACCACAAGGATCCTTCATGCTACTCTTTCAAAGCCACGTCCGTTTTCCACCCTCACCTCCTCCCTACCCATGGCAACTACTCATCTGTCCTCCATTTCTAGAATTCTGTCATTTCACAAATGCTGTATAAATGGAATCATACAGTATGCAACTTTGTGGATTGTCTTTTTCCACTCAGCATAATTCTTTGGTGATCTATCCAAGTTGTTGCATTTATCAGTAGTTTGTTCCTTTTTGTTACTGAGGAGTTATACCGGGGTATACTACAGTATAACCAGTTGCTTGTTGAAGGAGGTTTGGATTGCCTCCACTTTTTGACTATTACAAATAAAGTTGATGTATACATTTGTGAACAGATTTTTATGTGAATATAAGTCTTCATTTCTCTGGGATAAATGCCCAGAAGTACAATTGCTGGGTTATATGGTAGTTGCAGTTGTGTTTTTTTTTGTGTGTGTGTGTGTTTTTTTAAGAAACTGCCAAACTATTTTCTAGAGTGGCTGGGCCATTTTATATTCCCACCAGCAATGTCTGAGTGATCCAGTTTCTCCACATCCTTACCAGCACTTACTTGGTTTTGTACGTTAGCCATGCTGATAGATATGCAGGGGCATATCATTATGGCTATGATTTGCATTCCCCTACTGGCTAATGATGTTGGGCATCGCCTCATGCGCTGATTTACCATCAGTGTATCTTCTTCAGGGAGATGTCTGTTCCTGGCTTTTGTCTATGTTCTAACTGAATTGTTTGCTTTTTAATTGTTGAGTTTTGAGGGTTCCTTATATATTCTAGCCACCAGTCCTTTGTTGGATACATGCTTTGCAAATTCTTTCACCCACTCTGTACCCTGTTTTTTCATCCTCAGAGCAGGGTCTTTCAGAAAGCACAAGTTTTTAATTTGGGGAAAGTCCAGTTTTAATGTTTTCTTTTTGGGTCATGCTTTGCTGTCAAGTCTCAGAACTTTTTGTCTAGCCTAGATCCAAAGATCTATTATGCTTTTTTCTAAAAGTTACATAGTTTTAAGTTTTACATTTAAGTCTATGATGCGTTTTCAAGTAATTTTGTGTGAGATATATGACTTAGAGTGAGATGAACGTTTAGCTATGGATGTTCAGTTGCTCTGCACTATTTGTTAAAAAGATGATCCTTTCCTCCATGGAATTGCATGTTCACCTTTGTCAAAACCCAGTTGGGCATATATATGTAGATCTTTTCTGAGTTCTCCATTCTGCTCCATTGATCTATATGCCTATTCCTCTGCCAGCGCCACACAGTCCTGATCACTGTAGCTACATAGTAAATTAGATACTTCAACTTGGTTGCTAATTACTCCCACTTACTTTACTTTTCTTTACAAAATTATTTTAGCTATCTTAATTCCTTTGCTTTTCCGTGTAAATTTTAGAATAATCTTATTTACACCTACAATAATATTACTATGATTTTAATAGTAGTTGCATTAAACCTGTGTATTCACTTGGGGAGAATTGACATCTTGCTATGTTGAGTCTTCCAGTTCGTTAATATACTATGTCTCTCCATTTATTTACATCTTTTTTGATTTATTTCATCAGCATTGTATAAATCCTGTACATGGTCTGTTATATTTATACCTAAGTATGTAATTTTTTGAATAATTGTGAATGGTCCTATATTTTAAATTCTGTTTTCTAAGTTTTTATTGCTAGTATATAGAAATATAGCTTATTTTTGTATCCAGGATCTTGCTAAACTCACTTTTTTTAGGGACAGGAGGCATTTTGGTGAATGTTTTGGGGGAGAGGGGAAAGAGAAGGTTGTAGATTCCTTGGGCTTTCCTGTGTATAGACAGTCATGTCATCTACAACAAGGAACAGTTTTATTTTTTCCTTTCCAGTCTTTACACTCTTTATTTTCTTTTGTTGCCTTATCACAATAGCTAGAAAAAGCAGCACTGTGTCACATAGAAATGAAAAGAGTAAGCATCCTTGTCTTTTCCCAGCCTTAGGGGAAAAGCATTTAGTCTTTCATCATAAGTATAGTGTTAGCTGTATTAGGTTGAGGAAATTGCCTCCTATGGATGTTTTTCTGGAGTTTCTATCATGAATGACTGTTGAATTTTACTAAATGCTTTTACTGCATCAATTAATCATGTGATTTTTTTCCCCCTCCTTTAACTTGTTAATATAGTGGATTTTCAATATTGTACTAGTTTTGTATCCATGAGATAAACCTCATATAGTCATGTTGTATAATTCTTTTTCTTTTTTAATCTTTGTTGTTGCAAGTATTACCTATGTCCCTTTTCTTCCCCCCATGGACTCCCTCCGAACCATCCCCACTCCCATTCCAGGCCTTCACCGCCCTACAGTCTGTGCCATGGGCCATGCATAGGTGCATACAAGGTCTTTGGTGGATTACCTTTCACCCATCCATCCTCCCCCACCTTCCCTCTGAGATGCCACACTCTGGTCCATGCTTCGGGTCTTTAGAACCACTCTGTTCATCAGTTCATTTTGTTAATTAGATTCCACCTATGAGTGAGACCATGTGACACTTGTCTTTCTCTGACTGACCTATTTCACTCAGTCATACTCTCCAGGTCCCTCCATGCTGTCTCAAAAGGTAAGAGATTCTCCTTTTTTTGCTGCTGCATAGTATTCCATGGTCTAAATGTACCACAGCTTCTTTACTCACTCGTCCACTGATGGGCACTTGGGCTGTTTCTAGGACTTAGTTATTGTAAATTGTGCTGCTATGAACATAGGAGTACATACATTCTTTCTACTGATTTCAGGAAGAGGGAGAGAAGGATAGGAACATCAGTGATGAGAAAGAATCATTGACCTCCTGCATTCCCTGGAATGGGGGTCGTGCCAGCAGCCCCAGATATGTGCCCTGATCACAAATCAAACTGTGACTTCCTTGTTCATGG